AGCAGGAGCTGCCCAGTGCCCTTCCCTCCCCAGGAGGAAACTCCAACACCAGGCCATGCAGCAACCTGCCGAGAGGCTCTTGTCACCTCCTTCTGAAGCCCCATCACCCATGCAGACGGCGTTGAGCGTTGACAACCCGAAAGGATTGTCAGGCTCTCGAAGGCCGCTGCCCAGGGAGGTGGTCAAGTCCTCATTCCTGGAGGTATTTAAAAGAAGGATAGATGAGGTGCTTAGGGACAGGGTTTAGTGGTGGGATGGCAGGGTTAGGTTAAAGGTCTTTTCCAACCAAAGTGATTCTATGATTCTATGAGGGCATGTCTCCTCGGGAGGGGTGGCAGTGGCACCCCATCACCTACCAGCTGCACCCACTCGGGACCCAGTGCCCAAGCTCAGACCTCCCAGCTGCTAACTCAGAGGTGCCAAAGCCTGTGCTGGGTCTGGCCCAAAATCTCACAAGCCTGGTGTCAGCTTTTATCACCTCCATTCCCCTTTTGGGCTGCTGCCACCGCAGCCTTCGGTGCAGGTACCAGGTGGCAGGAGGAGGAGGAGGTGGCCTGGGTGACCTCCCCGGGTGCAGGGAGGACAGCGCCAGTCTACTCACTGCTGCTCAGCCCGGCTCCACTGCCGGCTACTTCTAATGGCACATCAACAAACACATAACAATCTGTCTTAAGGAAAATCAGTGAATAAATTTCATTTAAAAATACTTCTCTATTTCTGGATAGGCACCACTCTGCTCCAGCTACTTCAGAATCAGCTGAAGCCTTCATGTTACCCAACAGCAAGACTGTACAAGGCTGTTACGGGCAAAATACAGCATTTGACTCTCCATAAGATTAATAAACAGCTCTCTAAACCACTCTTCTTGCATAAGTGTAGATGGCTTCTCAGTGTTTGGCTTTTATACCTCACAAAAGGGAAAAAGGGGAAAGAAAGACTTAATATCCAGCTGCCGTTGGGTTTTTCCCTGCTGTGTGCCCCTCCAGAGGGTGAGGAGCGGGGTGGTGGGAGCAGGGAGCAGTGGCCACCAGCTGCCTGCCTGACCGGGACATAGCAGAGGTGACCAGGGGTTGGTTTGAGAGATGAAAAATTTTAGGGAGGCTTTTACTCTGCTGGCTGCAGGTCCCCGTGCTGTGCACATCCCTGCAGATTCACGCTGACCTAATTATGTCTTCAAGCAAACGCAATGTATTTACTAAATGTGCAGGCTTCTCTAAATTAGCATTAGACCATGTGTACAAAACCCACCGCTGCAGCTGTGCGTGGCCACGGCCGATGGCATGCAGAGGAGCTGAGCAGCAGAGCAAGCGACCCCGAGCTGGGAAGGGGGGCACCGCTCCCCCTTCCTGGCCCTTGGGGTCCGG